CCCTCAAGTTCAAATATCTAACAGTTTTTGCTGTACTTTTATATACCAGACAACATTTCAAGGCAAATATTCGACTTCCGGCAATCAAAGCTATTTGTAGCCCAGTGATTCCGAACTGTATAAGGACCATGCCCCATAAAAAAAGACTCTTAGGGAGATAGAATTCAATGATAAGCCCGGGCAAAATTCCCCTCTCTAGCATTGAACCATATGTTAGTTTTGACGAATCCTGATCTCCTTCCCTTTTCTTACTTCCCACAATTTCCCACAAAACGCAGGTCTGTAAACCAATACATACGTCGTAATTGGCCAATAAACACCTTCAAATGTATAGCACACCATCAAAAACATAACGAAATATAATTGCCATCTAATATTATTCAGACTTTCTATTATTATTAAGTAAGTGTATAGCTGAAAGTTATATAACTTATAACAAGTGACGATGGCTAACATAATAGCGTCTCTTTAAATCTTCATAGCATCTTTACAATAGAAGAATGAACGAATGTAGGTTACTACTAATTCTAGAACTATGTTTTTGGATTGACTTGTTGTTAGGTTTGGCAGGAACAACAACAGTGAAGAGATACTACGCTTTCTCTCTAGGACTGTGTTTTTGGAAGGGGTTGATTTTAGTTACGGCAGGTTCAACAGTGAAGAGATGCTACGGTGGCTCTTTAGGACTATGTTTTTGGGTGGGCTTGTTGTTAGGTTCGGCAGGTTCAACAGTGAAGAGATACCACGGTAGCTCTCTATGTTTTTGGATGGGCTTGTTGTTAGGTTCGGCAGGTACAGCAGTGAAGAGATACCACGGTAGCTCTCTATGTTTTTGGATGGGCTTGTTGTTAGGTTCGGCAGGTTCAACAGTGAAGAGATACCACGGTAGCTCTCTATGTTTTTGGATGGGCTTGTTGTTAGGTTTGACAGGTACAACAACAGTGATGAGATACCAGGGTGGCTCAGCGAGTAAGGCGCTGGCTCACTACCCAGGAGGTCCCGGTGTTGGTCCAGAGAGTATCTCGGGATTTTTCAGCATGACTTCTCACTGTCAGTTATGCGGGACGGAGGGTCTGGTAAAGAATAGTGTCTAGTAGTTAGGATGGGACGACAAACCAAGGTTCGTGTACACGTTGGCGTGTACGTAAAAAAATCCTTTACTGTTGGAATTCGGACAAAATTTCCATCATTAAAGCACTGTCCATTACAGAAAAGTAGGATGCTACCCGCACCCCCCCACCTCCTTTCATTCTCGTGCATGTACCAATCCTTTAACTTATTTAAAGCTCCAACAATCCAGACATTAAACATTGAGATTCAACCAATCAAAAATAATTTAATTAAAAAAATATTTTTTGCTCCAGAAATCAATCAAAATTCAGTTAATGCTATCCATTTTTGCTGTGCAATTATTAATTTCGAGGGATGGGCAGGTACAAAGAATATCTATAGCAACCGTGGTTCGAACAAATACCAGTCTTTAAACTATCGAGATTAATCCCATTCCTTAATTATGGCCGAATGGTTAGCACGTGCACACTGTCTGTCATTGAGTCAATTGGCGTGGTTTCGATTCCCCGGTTGTACGTGACTAGGAGTAGGGTCGTCTGTCCAACCTCGTGGGATTTCTCCGGGTCCTTCGGCTTCCTCCCACTGCTAAAGACCCCTACGCGAATTATTGAAATAAAATGGAACCATATGTTAGTCCCGAAATGACCTAGTTTGTCTCTCTCTCTCTCTCCCCATTCCTCAAATTGCTAACTTTAAATATAATAGTTTTAAAATAGATAAAGATTGAAATATCGCCAAGTATGTGGCAAGCTGTAAATTATTGTTACAGATAAAGTTTTTTTTTGTGTTGAAACGGTGTAAGATTATCTACATTGTTAAACAGTATAAAATGCGGTTATCTTCTCACGTGTGTTAGAGTGGGCTGAATAATCAGGCCTACACCTACGTATATTCAATTTATCACTTGGACCGTATGAAACGTTTGCTTCCTGTAGCGCCTCAAGCCATGGGCCTACGCCTACGTGTATTCAATTTTTTGTTTGGACCGCCCGAAACTTCTGCTTCCTCTACCGCCTCAAACCGCCCGATTCACTTGAATAGATGTGAATTATTTCGGGATCGTATAATAGTTAGATAATCGGTGGACTTGAGGTAATCTGTTTTGCAGAAGTATAAGATGACTGACCTTTATAAGTTCAAATGCATTCTATATGTGACATCACATCACGCGGCGTCAATCATTGGCTCGAGGGCGCGTGCATTGTTTACATAACGTCAACTGGTGCGGGCAGAATGATGTCTTTTACACATTTTATATACCCATTTACTTGTAGACTAAATAGGAAATATTTTTTTATCCAGATATACTTCAAACACCTTTATTTAATTTTCTAATACTTAAAAAAATACCCCACCAATTTCTGGAATATAATTTGCAAAAGTAAAAAAGTTAATATTGCGAGCTAATTAACCCGCATCGATGTCATCCCTCTCAGTGATTGTAGCGGCCCGGCGAATATTCACTGCTGATTAGTGTGGGCTTGGGGTGGCCAAGGGAACAGAAGTTTCCAGGTCTAGGAAAAATAAGTTACAAAAACTCAATGTTAAAAAAAAACAATATTTACACATGTACTGGGTAGTAAGGGGTTAATGCAATATTTAGTTGATATTTTCGTATCGTGTCTTTGGTTGCTCACCCTGGTATAATGAAACTTTGACCTCGACCCTTCAAATGTCTCGAGCATTTAAAAAAAGAAAGTAGTATCGCAGGTTTTGATCGGCTGGGGTTGGGGCTGGAGGGAGGCGGTTGCGGCTTAGGGATAGGGTACCTTTTTACGTCCTATCACGCTTTTCAGTTATCCAATCTTGTCTAGTACATTATTGACTGGCTACGATCGATTGTGCCTTTAATCCCGTGCTTATCTGGAATTTTTATATACTGTATTCTGTATGTTTTGGTTACCTTTTTGTGCTGAGCGTATTGTTGTGTCTACGTCATGAAAAAGCGGCTAATAAACCACGGAATTTGGTTAGTCTTCAGATCTGAGCGTTGTTGTGACATTTCTATTATAAACCACAGAATGTATAACACGTATGGTTATTTGTGGCTGGCTTTGTTTGTGGAATCTGTTTAAGTGGAAGTAGACCCAATCATCCAGACGTCCCTTGATGATGCTACAGAATTTTCTATGACATTTCACAAAACTTCCAATTAAACTCATTTTTATGCGCACGCATGGAAATGTTCACGATGCGCAGAAGTATGTTGATTTTCAACGATTTCCGATAATTATTGTCGGATTTATCGCCCTTGATCAATTTGAAATATACCCCGTGAGCGCCCCAAAGACTATTAGTTATGATCCAATGTATTGGATAATTATATACAGGGTTAATGTTCAAGGCTAAAGTTATCGCTCAATTAAGACGAAGAATCTCATTGACATTTAATGTTTCCGTCGAATTTATCGCCATTGATCAATTTGAAAAAATCATGCAGTTGTCATTAGGAACATGTATTATGCTTTGGAAAGTAACACGCCAGTCATCGGAGTTTGATTTTATCCAGTGACCATCAATTTTCTGCCATTCCAAATGTTCAAAAATGATCTTTGAGATTAACTCGTCTTTAAATTACATTCTGACATCTGGAATTCTAACGAAAGACTTTTAATTGGTTTGAATTGTTTTTTTTTTAAAAAAAGGAAACCACAAAACACATTCAATAAAAATGTCGAGATAAAGTGAAGAGTATATCCAACAATATGTTCTGAAGACAAGAAGCTTTCCACCCCATCTTATGTCGACCTCAATATTAATTCGACTGCACTTAAAAGTGTCGTCCATTGGATATGTATAATAAACATAGGCGTACGGGGTTAATTTTGATAGGAGGGGAATCACAGGTACGGGGGCTCGAATTTCTCTACTTTTGTCCGAACTTGCTTCAATTTGACAGGTCAGCGGAATAGATAGAAGAGCAATGATTGCCCAAATTTCTATGAAGGCCTTGTCCGAATATTTTGCAGGCCCCCTCCCACACCCCAACCCACCCGGCCTGGACGGAATACCACTAATAATAAATACAATATAGTACAAACTGAACCCAAGGAGCAATAAAACATATAAAACATAAACTGATAAATTAGTTATATAATACACGAACGTGTCACAGTGATAAATGATACCGTAGAAGTAAGTATACGTTGTTTTGAAACGGTAACTTGTGTTTGACTGTAAACTGGAGACCTTTTTAAGTCACTGCACACAATATTTATATATGCGTTGTTTTAAAACGAGAATTTAGTTTTGAATAGATTTTTTAAAGATACTATACATAATATTTATGTACAAATGTACAACATACATTTGTATTTGAACCAGTTGTGCACAGAACTGTATAGTGTTAAATGTTAACTGTCATCAACTGTCATTCAATCTGATAAAAACACAGATCCTATTTCGTTTCGTTTTTTATAGTTCAAAATTTTGTTTTACTTGTCTTTACTACACTAGGATCTGGATGAGTTGTTATATAACCGGCGTTTTGGTTGAAGTGAGGTATTAGCCAATAAAACGGTCTGTTAAGGTGACTTCTTGGCGTGCCATGCACGGAACTGTGGGTAAACCACTAGAAACGTCAACGCTGATTGATTAATCAATGTATGACGTCATAGGGTCAAAAGCCGCGAGTAAACCCCTGAAACGACCTTCCAGTACAATTGTCATATTTCCATGTAGTTTAGGCCATCGAAAGTATAAAAAAACGAAACGAAATATAGATCTGTATTTTAATCAGATTAACTGCCATAAAGCATTACTAGAAGAAACCATATGGCTACCATAATTCATACCATTTTACCACTTCTTGTTTACAAGAATGGCAAGTTTTTGCCATATATTTATGTCATCACTCCAGGCCGTCGTCTTGGTTTTTAAATAATAGAAAACAAATAATAATTTGTGTTTTGTTTTTACCTTCCTTTCAGTTGAGTCCTATTTTACCAAAAGCCAATATACCGAAAGGACCTAGATGTTTAAAATGTATTGATGCATGCCCAGGATTAGAAGTACATTTCTGGAGGTAAGATGATATTTCATAGAATTGTGTATATATATCCCGATCGCCGCATGCAGGGATACAATATTCGTTGTTTCCCGCGCGTTACGTAAAGTGTATAATATGGGGTGTGAGTCAAGACAGCTGTTATATTTGAGCAATTTTAATGAACATGCCACATCGAGTTGATATGATGATAAAAATAATTGTATGTAAATAACCTTGTAATGTTCCTATCATTATGTAGTTTGTCAGGTTACATGACGGACATCAAAATAATGAAACACAGATGCTGATCTATCCACAATTTAAAAAAATGTACACACAAAAAAAATACGTCGAAGAATTCAGATAAGGGATATACAGATGATGGTCTACCGCTTAGTACATCGAGTGAGCGGATTAAAAAATACACAATATTAAAGAAAAAAAAAAAAAAAATTTATATATGGCTAATACAGAAATGAAATAAAATGGGGTTTAACGTCCTACTTTTCTGCACCAACGGGGTTAATATAGACGGGTATATGCCATACAGTGTACTGCGATCTCAGTTTTGCCCTGACATCGACGCTATGACCTTTTCCTTTTTTCGAATTCTTTCTACCCAGGGTTCTATTACGTACACGCCAACATGTACAGTTTTTCTTCCCATCCGCATAACTAGACACCGTTCCTTGCTAGGCCCCCGTCCTGCTCCCTGTCTTGCTAGGTCCCTAGTCCTTTTTCGAATTCTATCTATTACATACACGCCAACATGAACCCTTTTTTCTTACCATCCGCATGACTAGACACCATCCCTTGTCAGCCCCCCCCCCCCCCGTCCTTCTCTACTGACAAGGAGGAACCAAGTCGTGATATCTTGAGAACTTTCTCGACCAACACCGGACTGGAAACTAGCATCTTCCTGATAATTAGTTAGCCAGTGCATTGCTCGCTAATTTTGTTACTTTGAGTTGTTATCCGGGAGCCATGGTGGCTAAGTGGGTAAGACGCTGGTTCGCTAGCCTGGAGGTCGCGTGTCCCTGCATTGACCAAGAAAGTTCATCGGGATTTTCCGATATGGTGTCCCCTTGTCAGTGGTGCAGGACGGACCGCCTGACAAGGACAGCTGTCTAGTCGTTCGGATGGGACGAAAAACCGAGGTCCCGTGTATACATTGGCATTGTATGTAAAAGACACATTGGCTGTTGGAATTCGATATAAGAGTAGGCCTTTGTGCCGTTTGCCTAGACAAAATTTCCTTCATAGCACACTGTATGACGTATGCCCGTTTTCATTAGCCCAGTCGGGGCATAACAGTAGGACGTTAAAACCCATTTCATTTCATTTAATTTGTTATCCATGTATTGGAAACAGTAGAATACATTGCGTAATTGAAATTTCCAAACAAAGATCCTTTCTAACACCACAAACGCTTTATTATTGTTAAAACATAGATTTTCCATTAACTCAAAATTTTATTTCGCAGCCTTTTTACATAAAACCCCAAAACATGCGCCAAAAGTATGACTGGAATTATTTTAATTATAAAAAATGTTATTTTAATTTCAAAGACAGATGTTTAAAATAAATTGATTTAACGTCCGCTTTCACTCACGTGATATCTTAGACAGTTTTTTTTAAAGGGGAAATAGACCAGAATAAAAGTCTAGCATTTTGATCTGAAGATTATGCAAATCGGTCGATCATTCGAATTGACTTATCATCGCGATTAGGAACCACCGGAATTATAGAGAGAGAGAGAGAGAGAGAGAGAGAGAGAGAGAGAGAGAGATGGGGTCATTTGTTCTAGAAAGAGTAAGCATGTCCTGCCTTGTGCGTATTTTGACTTTTTAAATATTTGCAAACCGTCTGGCTCTTTATCCCTTTAGTCTCGGGTCTTGAATAAGGTATGTCATTGAGTCAATTGGCGTGGTTTCGATTCCCCGCTTGTACGTTACAAGGAGTAGGATCGACTGTCCAACCTCGTGGGTTTTCTCCGGGTCCTCCGGTTACCCCCACTGCTAAAAAAACCCTTACGCGCAAGCGAATTATAGACTTAGAATTGAACAATATGTTAGTCCCGAAATGACCTAATTTGTGTCAAGTGGACGTGAAACCCCATTGCTCCCTCTCCCCCCCCTTACAGTCTGCAATGAAATAATTACAAGGAAACTGTGATTTCAATCCAAATATACAATAAAAACATTTTAGCTATGTGAACTCCTGGAATGAAAAAATGGTAGCAGGTGTGCATATTTTGACTTTTTGAAATATTTATAAACCATCTGGGGTGGGGGGATGGTAGAATGGTTAGCACGTGCGCGCTGCATCATCAGGTCTGTCATTGAATCAACTGGCGTGGTTTTGATTCCCCGGTTGTACGTGACAAGGAGTAGGGTCGCCTGTCCAACCCCGTGGGTTTTCTCCGGGTCCTCCGGTTTCCTCCCACTGCTAAAGACCCTTACGCGCAAGCGAATTAGTGAAATAAAATTGAACCATGTGTTAGTCCCGAAATGACCTAGTTTGTGTCGAGTGGACGTTAAATCATCTCTCTCTCTCTCTCTCTCTCTCTCTCTCTCTCTAAACCATCTGGCACTTTGTCCCTTTAAGTTTAAATAGGAATAGTTACGAGAAAACTTGATTAAACCGAACTCTTTTTTTTATCATTTTGGCTTCTAAACTGATATGTTTATCCACAAGTCGCGTGCTAAGATATATTTTTTATAGGTTTTATGTAGATAAGTGTGTGAAGTTTATAAGGTATCAGAGTGATAAAGTGATAATATATAACAGCTCCACGTGTTTTATAACTCGCAGATGCTCGTGTCATTTATATAATCATTTAATCTATAATTCTGAAGGAATCTCCTCGCCGTACATATAATCATTTTTATATAATTCTAAAGGTAACTTGTCTTTATATATAATTCTAAAGGTACCATGTCTTCATATAATCATTTATATATAATTCTAAGGGTAACTTTTCTTTATATATACATGTATGATAATTTATATATAATTCTAAAGGTAACACGTCTTAATAAACAATCATTTATATATAATTCTAAGGGTAACTTGTCTTTATATATACATGTATAATAATTTATATATAATTCTAAAGGTAACACGTCTTCATACACAATCATTTATATATAATTCTAAAGGTAACTTGTCTTTATACATATAATCATTTATATATAATTCTAAAGGTAACACGTCTTAATAAACAATCATTTATATATAATTCTAAGGGTAACTTTTCTTTATATATACATGTATGATAATTTATATATAATTCTAAAGGTAACACGTCTTAATAAACAATCATTTATATATAATTCTAAGGGTAACTTGTCTTTATATATACATGTATAATAATTTATATATAATTCTAAAGGTAACACGTCTTCATACACAATCATTTATATATAATTCTAAAGGTAACTTGTCTTTATACATATAATCATTTATATATAATTCTAAAGGGAACATGTCTTCATACACAATCATTTATATATAATTCTAAAGGTAACTTGTCTTTATACATATAATCATTTATATATAATTCTAAAGGTAACATGTCTTCATACACAATCATTTATATATAATTCTAAAGGTAACATGTCTTCATACACAATCTAAAGGCATCCGATAGATAATGACGATAGGTACACGGAAAATTCTAGATAACCACGTTCAAGCATTGCTTTTAATTAAAGAATGGCGTCCCAAGTCTTTCAAAGACAGTAACAAGCCATACCTTACTGAAATACTGTAACAAGCCATACCCTACACGCCATAACTTACTCAAATACAGCCATCATATATCGCATCTATATCAAAGATTGCATCAAGTGTATTAAAACAAAATACAAATTTCGGGTAACAAGTGAACTTTCCAAATGAGAAAAGGTTGTAAAAGGTTATACTATGTTTAAGGTAGGCTCATAAAACCCCGGAAGAGGTCGTGAACATAATAAGTTACCTTGAAAATGTCTTTTAAAGAGGGGATCACGCGGCTAAGTGGGTAAGACGCTGGCTCGCTAGCCTGGAGGTCGGGTGTTCGATCCCTGCATTGGCCGAGAAAGTTCATCCAGATTTTCCGGCGTGGTTTCCCCTTGTCAGTGATGCAGGACGGAGGGCCTGACAAGGACAGCTGTCTAGTCCTTCGGATGAGACGAAAACCCGAGGCCCCGTGTATATATTGGAATGCACGTAAAAGATCCCCTGGCAATTGGAATTCGATATAAGAGTAGGCGATAGTGCCGCTGCCTGGGCAAAATTTCCCTCATAGCACACTGTATGGCGTATGCCCGTCTTCATTAGCTCAGTATAGGAGCAGAACAGTAGGACGTTAAACCTCATTGCATTTCATTTCATGTCTTTTAAAGATTACTCGATTCTTTGTTTCAGGAAAGTGTGTAAACATTGTCGATGTCCTCAGGAAGATCATGATATACAGGCAGACAGAGAAAGAGATTTTAGACCAATCAGTTTATTGTTTGATTCCACATTCTCCTCAACTGACGGCAAATCTGATTGGATGGCTAAATTTGAGAAATTGAACCTTCAGGACCCTCGTGTTATGATGCAGATGTGTGCCCCCCAACAAGATATGGTCATTTCTCGACTTATCAGTGAAAATTTGGTAAGTCCTTTGGTTTGTTTGATTAAGTCTACATTTTGACACCCCGTGTGCAGAGTGTTTCGATTATCCATCACTTTTACGCCTATAGATAATGGACAGTTGTAAGATACACGGAATACGGGCACACACCCAACTCGATAGTCTTTTCCTTGATCTCTGGTTTCCTGTGACGGCCAATAACGAGCTTAGAGGTATTGAAATGTTGATATCAAATTTATCATAGGTTAGTCCCAAAATAACATACTTATATTGGCCAATTTCCTTCCGTCCGTTCGTTACTTGAAGATAGTTTAAGAAAGTACCAACATGCCAGAACATGCCAGAATATGCCAGAATAAGTGTAATAATAATAATAATAATAATAATAAAAACTTTATTTAATGAGGCAACGTATTTAGTTTGCAAAAAAACCCAACTAATCTTCCATAGGTCCCTCCTAAACTACAAAGACATATATACATGTAATATCAGGATAAATTTAAAATCATTAGAAATGCAATAGCATTTTAAAGTGGGAAGTTTGATAAGTCACTCCCAAACTACAAAACATATACATTATACAAGTAGAATATAGGAAGAACACTATAATTACACACAAAATAAAATAGAATGCAGTTGCAAGTTAAGAATAATAAGTATGTCATCAGTTGAATATTATGGTTCCTTCAATGTGCAAAATAAATGAGTTTTCAGTTTAATCTTAAAATTTTCAACATTTTTACACATCTTTATATCAAAGGGCAGATTGTTCCATAAAAGACATGCAGAATAATGAAAAGTACGTTTCATGGATTCCGTTTTGCATTTTTGAAGAAAAAGATCTTTAAGTTGCATTTAGAGATTGGGGAACAAGTGATCAAAACAAAGAGTCAGATCTTTTAATTTCTGTAAGTAACCAATCTGAATATATTTTAGCGAGAAATGGGGTTTAACGTCCACTCGACACAAACTAGGTCATATCGGGACTAACAAATGGTTTAATTTTATTTCAATAATTCGCTTGCGCGTAGGGGTCTTTAGCAGTGGAGGGAAACCGGAGGACCCGGAGAAAACCCACGAGGTTGGACAGGCGACCCTACTCCTTGTCACGTACAACCGGGGATTTGAAACCACGCCAGTTGACTCAATGACAGGCTTTATGATACAGCGCGCACGTGCTAACCATTCGGCCATCCAACCCCCGAGTGCCAGACAAGGAAAGAATCTCGTCGCTCGGATACACCGAGGTCCCGCATACACATTGGTGTGCACGTAAAAGAACCCTTAACAGTTGAAATTCAGAATAAGGGTAAGCCGTAGATTCAAAGTACACTGTTTTGCGTATGTCCGTTTTCGAGGGGTTGGATGGCTGAATGGTTAGCGTGCGCGCGCTGTATCATAAAGTCTGTCATTGAGTCGACTGGCGTGGTTTCGAATCCCCGGTTGTACGTGACAAGGAGTAGGGTCGCCTGTCCAACCTCGTGGGTTTTCTCCTGGTCCTCCGGTTTCCTCCCCCTGCTAAAGACCCCTACGCGCAAGCGAATTATTGAAATAAAATTAAACCATATGTTAGTCCCGAAATGCCCTAGTTTGTGTCGAGTGGACGTTAAACCCCATTTCTCTCTCTCTCTCTCTCTCTCTCTCTGTCCGTTTTCATTTGCCTGGATACAGCAGAAAAGTAGAACGTTAAACCCCATTTCATTTCATGCAATACTTATATTCACCCCACGTATATTTGTCGATATGTGACCTCAAACATTTCTTGTGCTGTTACCATGTTTAGTTGGTTGGGTTTTTTTTAAGATAGAGAAGGGTTGTTTTTTATTCTTGAGTATCTGATACCTTTATGTTATTGATATAACCGCCTGAAGCACGTGATTCTATTCCTTGTGTAACAGCCATCTTGTTTTTATTAGCCAATCATCTGACATCTTATTTCAACACCAATATTTCTCATACCTGTCTACTATAAACCTTGACATTTTATGTAATATCTATTACATATTTACCAGGTGATTCGACTTATCCTATGAATCATCTAACCTAACAGAAGCCGTATAATCACTGGGGTTATCGGGGTGGAAACGCTTTCAGAGATAGAGGGATAGACAGGAAGAGGGACATTTGACTCAAAGGCAGTTGTTGCGGATCTAGGGCGAGAGAGAAGGACGGAAATTTGACTCAATGACAGACGGCGTTAGACTATTGGGCCATCCGCCCCACTCCCCCAGAAATATGTCTTAAGAAGGCCTGTGTATGTTTTTGATAACTTGTCGGGACCGGGAATGTTTATTTTTGGGTGTTGTTGCGGATCTAGGGCGCATGTGCGATGAAACTTATGAAGCTTAAGCTTCAGGGCTGCTAATCCCGGAAGGGCCCAAGAAGACATTGTAAGTCTTCATTGTAAGTCAAATGAACATTAGAGGCAGGACCGGATTAAGACCTATAGAGTGCTTAGAAGATTTTGGTGTTCCAGTATCCAATTCAAAATGTAAACAATAATAAACCATAAACAATCCGTCAATCACGTGGTTAGAGTTTCTCTTAGGTTTTATACACGTCATCATATATTGAGACAAAGACGGTAACAGTAAGAGAAGATGAAAAAAAACCCCAAAACAATGAAAAACTAATCAAAAGTTATTAATTAATTTTTAATTTGAATTCGTCATCTAACAAACTAGAAATTATGTGGTACCCCCTCCTCCTTCCCATGATGCCCTAAGCACGCGCTTATTTTGCTGAATAGTTACTGTACAATAGCGTGGTCTCCTGGCAATATCCAAGGTAGAAGAGCACCGGGGGCGAATAGTTACTGTACAATAGCTTGATCTCATGGCAATATCAAAGGCAGAAGAGCATTTAGGAGCGAAACGTTACTGTACAATAGCTTGGTCTCCTGGCAATATCAAAGGCAGAAGAGCATTTAGGAGCGAAACGTTACTGTACAATAGCTTGGTCTCCTGGGTAGCTATATCCAAGTTAGAAACAAAAAACGTCAGCTATCTATCTATTTTGGTTGCCTGATTTCACACAGAATATATTGTTTTACAAAAGCGGAGAATTGATTTATCGTGTTGCTGCACTTTTAGATTCACCGTCTTTATGTATAACACACTTTGCTAGAGAGATATTTAAGCCAACTATTTAGTGCCGAGTCAAACCGCCACGTCAAGAATGGACACTGTAATGAAATGAAATCAAATGAAATGAGTTCTTACTGTTCTGCCCGACTAGGCTAATGAAGACGGACATACACCGCATACACTGTGCTATGAGGGAAATTTTGCGCGGGCAGCATTGCTAAGGGCTACTTTATTTCGCATTCAAACTGCCAAGGGTTTTTTTTATGTGCACGCCAATGTCTACGCGGGACCCCAGTTTTTGTCCCATCCGAACGACTATACGACTTGCCAGGCCCTCCGTCCCACACCACCGACAATAATGACATAAACTTTCTCGACAAAGGCAGGGATCGAACACGCGACTCCACAGGTTAGCGAGCCAACGTCTTACTCACTAAGCCACCATGACAAAGTAAGAATTACTTATTCTTAATTTATACGTGACAAGGCAAGAATTAGAAGTCTTAACCCATACGTGACGTGGTAGGATGTGCATTCCCTTTCTAGAAAGAGAGAAAGAAATGGGGTTTAACGTCCACTCGACACAAACTAGGTCATTTCGGGACTAACATATGGTTTAATTTTATTTCAATAATTCGCTTGCGCGTAGGGACCTTTAGCTGTGGGAGGAAACCGGAGGACCTGGAGAAAACCCACGAGGTTGGACAGGCGATCCTACTCCTTGTCACGTACAACCGGCGAATCGAAACCACACCAGTTGACTCAATGACAGGCCTTGTGATACAGCGCGCACGTGCTAACCATTCGGCCATCCAACCCCCTCTGGTTCAATAAAACAAGATAACTTATTTTAGTGACGTGCACAACGAACAATGTATATTATAATTCCTGGTGCAGTGAAATGTGTGTATATGTAAAACTTGATGTAGAATTGTAAATGAGATGATGCCAAGAATAACAACAGCTTGACTTGTAGTTTAACTTGTAGACGTTTATAAAGAACCATCATCTCTAACTGGTGTGTATACCAGGCTTATGTTTATGTTTCATCTATTACTGACGTACATGTTATTAATGGGGGGAGGGGGTCTTGTCGGCTCAGCGCCGGATTAACCATGGTGGGGGGCCGTGGGGCCTTGGTCATCTGGGGCCCCTAACATAACGCAAGTGACCAAAAATTAGTCCGCATTATTCCACATATTTAAAAGTAATTACATAAAACTTACGTGCCCCGTGGTTAATCCGGCGCTGCATCGGCTAAATACAAATACAAATCCTGAGAGCCGCATTACCAGCAGACTCTCGACTAGAATGGGGCTGAATTCGAGGACCTGCCAATTTTTGATATCGTGTCCTAATTCCAAGATGGCGGCGAAGACGTCATAGTCGATTACTGGTGCGTATAGTAAGCCTACTATAGTACTTGTTCAAGCCGAGATTGCCACTAAACACTTGTAAGTAAATTTACTCCCACCGTGGTTTGTTCAGTAACTTCAGTTTACCCTTCTTACATAACCGACAAATAAAGTGAGAGAGAGGGAGAGGAGAGAGAGAGAGAGGTTTAACGTCCACTCGACACAAACCGGCGGCCCTATTCCTGGGAAACCACGCCAGTTGACTCAATGACAGACCTTATGATACAGCGCGCACGTTCTAACCGTTCGGCCATCCACAGACAAATAAAAGATATAATTTAAAACAGCAATAGTTATAGAACATGACGATCTTATTTCACTTTTGAAGAAAATAGGTACAAATACGTAATCAGCAAATTCCCTCTCCCCCCCCCCCCCTTTAAGGGGTCGAAATGTTCGCCCCAGGTTGCGAACCCATTCTGTTGAACAAAAGCATCATAGCCTCCGTAAAGCCGCGCTCGAAAAATCGAAGAGATCGCATTCTCCGTAGGGGGATTATGGCCGAATGGTTAGCACGTAC